GACATGGATGCTCATCAAAAGAGAAAACCGCCTGACTGCAAACAATGCAACAATGAACAGTGATGCAGCGCGCTTTTCAGCTTCCAGGGGCGAAGAATTAGCGAAATCAAGATGAAAGATGGATAAGGAGATAGACAGATGAATCGGAGGAGGAGGATGAGGAAACGTTTCCTAAGTGATGGTCTTTTTTCTAACTTTTCTAACTTTACGTAGAGGTCTCGCTGTGCGAGTGAACCATTCTATTAGATAATCGCGTTGCCTCACTGAATCATCTTCACTTCTTAGTTGTTATAAGCTCCCAATCAATAGATACAATTTTCATATCGTACTTTTTTCGTCGTGGTGGCCTTATCAAGTTCTTTATCTGAGTTTTCTCAATCGACCCAATCACACAATTTAACATTTTGAAAATGTCGACTGTTTCGCATCCCGTAAATTCCGTGAAACTAAGGGGGAGCATGTTTTTATCCAAATTTCCCCGAGACTGCAACGTTCTACTGTAAAATATTGTTCCAATGATAATGAATATTTTCATGAGCTCATTGGGAATATCGAAAAATATCGCTCAAATGCGCCGTTTCGTTAGACCGTCAGTAATGGCGCAATCTTACGGAAGCTGACGAAAAAACAATCAATGATGGACGAATTTTGGAATAAATTATTCAAAAAATGTATGCCAAATAATTGATGACCACTCTTTTAGACAACCACGTTGGAAATGGCATCCCACAGTTTCCATTCTATAGTTTATACAACCATTGACAACGCACACTTTCGTGCTACGATTCTGTTTATTGTCTTTTGGTTACTTGTTTGGATGAAAGAGACGGAGGGAAGATTGAAATGTTGAAGTGTAGTGAAGACACGGGCGCAGCCATTTTGATTTGATTGTGAGTCGCGTGCATGTCTAACTGGACCTTTTTGTTCATGATTGCTTTTCGTATTTTCCCCGTCTTGCAGGTCATTTGGAAGCCCGCTCCACGGAGAACCTACTGTGAGAAGTGTGTCCTACCTATGTATTGAAAGCGTCAGTGAATGACCAGGGATTGTGCGGCCTTCTGTAAAGAAGCTAATTGTATAAGAACTCGGAATGTGTTGCCCGGAATCAATCTGCCAATGCATTTCGAGTGGATTCAGAACTGGGGTCGGTCCAGCATACTACAGAAGGTAGTGCTCAGGGGCAAATGGAGTTTAGTTAGACTAAAATATCTAACACAAAATAGGCTATATTCCCCAGCTCAGCGAAAAGGATTTCTGAACGAGGTTTTCTTAAATTCAAATAGATCAA